TAAACCTTTGTGTTAAGAACAAGGCTGTAGTTAATCTGAGTTACTACTATTTTTTGTGCATTGATACACTAATTCATCAACAATCAACTAAAACACCTGTGTCCTGGATTCAGGGAATAATTAGATAAAGAAAGCCAAACCCTTTTCCTCAACCATTTCCAAGACTGCAAGGGAAAGACAAGCATGTAGATAAGATCAATAATTATAGTATAATGTGGTAAGTGTTCTGACAGAAATAAACCAAACTAAGTAGGACTGTATAGAGACCCCAACCATGATATGTCTAGGGAAACACTATGGAAGAATTATATTGAAGTTCCATTTAAACTAGTAAGGAAAGCTGGAAGGATAAGAAAAATGGCAATGACTTCTAAATTCTTAACTTTCAGTTCCATTTTCTTACCATTAATTTCTCTCCTACAAGTTCTCTGAGAAAGATAACTGGTTCTTTCAGAACTCAGTTCTTTCCATTTAATCAGTAAAAAACCAGCAGCTAACATAAGAAACTTCTAGCTATTGTTAGTAAAGATACACTAAAATAAAATCTGGAAATGTAAAGAAAATATCAAAATAAATCCATTCTATTTGCTACTACCTATATGAAAACTCAATACTCAAGACATAACATACCTACAATTTTAAGAGTAACATTTTATAATACAGTGGGTGTGCCAGTTAGCTCTGGCTCACGAGAATTGAATGTGTTCCCTACAAAACTCACATGTTGCCAATGTGACAGTATTTAAGAAGTAGGACCTTCAAGGAGATCAGGACATAAGGGCTCCTCCCTCATGATGGGATAAGGCCCTTATGAACAGGCTCCACACTGCATTTGATCAGCTTGCCCTTCTACCTTCTGCCATGAGCACACACGTCATTCCTCCCCTTTGGAGGACGCAGCAAGGTGCCAGCTTGGAAGCAGTCAGTGGGTCTCTCCAGAGACAACCAAACCTGCTGACACTTGAATCTTGGACTTCCCAGTCCTAGAACTGAGATGATAAAATTTTTGGCCTTTACAAATTACCCAGTCTCAGGTATTTTGTTATAGCAAAATTAGACTATGAAAGGCTGCCATAACAAAATACCATAGACTGTGTGGCTTAAACAACCGGAAATTATTTCCTCATAGTTCTGGAGACTGGAAGTCCAACAACATGATGCCAGCAGGACTGGTGTCTCATGTGGGCACTCCCCTTGAGTTGCGGACAGCAGTCTTCTTTTGCGTGCTCACATGGCCTTTCCTTAGTGCAGGACTGAAGAGAGAGTGAGAAATCCAGCGTCTCTCCCTCTTTTAAAAGGATATCAATCTGATCAGACCAAGGCCACATTATCATGACCTCATCTAAACCAACTTACTGCTCAAAGAACTGCCTGCAAATACTATCATATAGGGAGTCAAGGCTTCAATATATGAATTTTGGTGGGACACAAACATTCGGTTGGTAGCAGTAGGTTAAGCAGTATGCTATGTAGAATTGCTAATTGATAAGAAGGCTGAGACACTGTCCCCATCTGAAGAATGTCACTTTCTTTCCAGTGAGGAAACCAAACTGTGCTTGAAGCTTAATCAGACACAATGTCAAATTTAAAAAATATTAAACTACAGAATTACTGTTGAAATAGCTTCTATTTTGTGACTCATAATCTGATTTAACACAGTGAAATATCTAAATAGAACGATCTTGCTACTATTATTGTGAAACATGTCATGTTTTTATACCTGGGCTTTAATTTGAAATTTTAGACTGTATGTATTAGCATTTTGCATAAGCAAACCTACTAATAATTTTACATTTTTAATAATTTTGCAAATTTTAAATGATCTGCAGTATTATTGCAAAAAACATTTTTACATGTTTCAACAACACCTTTAGAAATTATGAAATTATACATTACATACTCACATAGGCTAGTCGGACACAGTTTTTATGAAATTATACATTACATACTCACATAGGCTAGTTGGACACAGTTATATCCTCTGGTCTTAATTACAGGAAAAGTATAGACAACTGTAAGGCTTAGCTTTATTGTTTTATAAATGAACCAGTAAAGTTCATTTTAGTGAAAATACACGCTTTTCATAAATTGAAATAAATCTCACATGGTAAAGTACCCACTTTGAAAATTAATTTAATTACACGTTTAAAGTTTAATTACATTTAATTAAGTATTTAAGTTTAATATGAAATAAATGAATTATCAGTTAACTCTATGAAATGAAATACTGCCTTCATAATTAAAACCTATAAATTTTCCCATTCTTTGCAAAACTGCTAGTTCTCACAAAACATTCAGAAAAAATAGAGTTTACAGATTTTAGGACTACACCCTCGCAGCTGACCAAGGGGTAATTTTCCTGGCACCCAGGTGGTGGGCTGTACATTTACTGCCTCAGTAAATGGAGGCAGGATGGTTCAGAAAAGGGAGGAGAGGTCTCGGAAACTTGGGTTCAGGCGTTAGCTCAGTCACTGACAGCCTACAGCAGTGAGAGAGTAACCTGGCAACTCCTACCTAAAGTTTCCTGTAAAATGGGGCTAATACTACTTCTCTTGGAGGGTCGCTGGGAAACCTGAATGAGGAGCCCAAAGGGCCTGGCCTGGAATGGATATTTGACAAATGTTAATTCTCTCTCTCAGTTGTTGAATACATTTTTTAATAAATATACTTTTTGGTATAAAATAGTTCTATCCCTAAAAAATATTTTTAAAATTACATCAGTGACACCATATTATTTTTGACATAAATACACCACATTTAATACACATTGTGCTTTTATTTTCCAAAGTACTCCATGAATGGAGGCAATAAAGCTTTATTGCCAACACAGGGCTCTGAGTCAGAAGAACTGACTCTGAATTTGGGTTTCACCTTTTACTACTGGATACACCATAAGAAAGTTATTTTGACCTATCTCCCAAGCCTGTATGTGTAAGTATGTTTGGTTTAATGTGGCAAAAATTGGGAACCACTAAAATCAATATAATCATGCATACTTAATAAAAAATTAGCAATTGCCGGGCTTGGTGGCTCAGCCTGTAATCCCGTGCCTTTGGGAGGCTGAGGTGAGTGGATTGCCTGAGCCCGCGGGTTCGAGACCTGTCTGGGCAACTTGGCGAGACCTCATCTCTACAATAAATCAAAATGAGCCAGGTGTGGTAGCGTGCGCCTGTAGTTCCGGCTACTTGGAAGGTTGAGGCAGAAGGATCACCGGAGCCCAGCAGGTTGAGGCTGCGGTGGCCGGGAGTGGCCACTGCACTCCAGTCTGGGCTGATAGAGTGAGACTCCAATTCAAAAATAAATAAATAAATAAATAAACAAAATTAGCAATGTAGGTAGGGCAAGTGGTATTTCTTCCTCTCCCCAACCCTGATTTTTCACATGAGGATATTGATTTTCACTGAATTTAAATGAGTTGTCCAAGATTAACAGATTTTTAAAATTCCTTTATCAGGCTCATTTCTCCATAACACAGGAGGGTAGATAAAGGTGAAAGATACCAAAATCTTCTGAAGTAGGGAAGTAAAGGGAAAAAAAAGATTAATCTTCGTTCTATCACTTAATAATTAAACTTCAGGTAAACCACTGCTGTGAATTTCAGTATCTTCTTCTGGAAAATGAGACTACATATTTTTATAGGGCTAATACAAAGACTACACAAGATAACAATGTAAAGTGCATAGCAGTGACTGACACACAGTAATCATTCATCAATGGTGGTTATTAATGCTATGACAACATCAAAGCTCCACTCTTGCTAAATGTCAAGCCATAGGTGGGAGAACTTCATAACAAAGTGAATTTTTTTGAAACAGATTTATTTTTTATTTTTATTTTTATTTTTTTTGAGTTGGAGTCTCACTCTATCGCCCAGACTGGAGTGCGGTGGCCACTCCTGGCCACTGCGGCCTTGACCTGCTGAGCTCCGGCGATCCTTCTGCCTCAGTCTTCCAAGTAGCTGGAACTACAGGTGTGTGCTACCACGCCTGGCTAATTTTTTGATTTATTGTAGAGAAGAGGTCTCGCAAGTTGCCCAGGCGGGTCTCGAACCCACGGGCTCAGGCAATTCACTCACCTGAGCCTCCCAAAGCACAGGATTACAGGCTGAGCCACTGAGCCCGGCTTGAAACAGATTTAATAAGAGTATGTAACCTAGCCTCCACTGAATTCTCAGGTATTATTTCTGGAAGACACTTGTAGATTTTTCAATCATTTCAGTTAACAACTTCCTGCCTATTAAATCTTTATTTAATAACTCATTTCATTTTGAAAATGGTGGTTTTACAAGTGCTAAAGAAAATACAGGTAACAACCTATTCCATGGCTTATTGCAATAAAAATTCAAATTAAATATTCTTAGCACTTTATAAATTATTCAACGTCAAGGACTGTAATTTTCAGAGTTCTGCCTAAATAAAATTATTAGCAGTATAAGCATGTTAGGTTGTTTTAATATTTAAAACTCTTCACTGTAAAACTCAAACTCTTAGTTCTCAAGTCACTTATAATCATATAGATTATTTACAGCATAGTTAGAAAGCTTTCATAAATAAAATATTGGAAAACATATCCTTGTTAATTCTCTGAAAAAGCATTTACCAAAATAATTAAGCAAGCAGTATTACTTTATATAATTTTCATTGCTATTATTAGCGATATATATTTAAAGGTAACTATTTGCATTCAGGGCTGAAAGATTCTGATTTAGAACTATTCCACATTTTCTTGAAAATAAAAAGAGAAAGCATTGTAAATTTGGTATCCAGACTTCAAGTTGCAAGTTAGAGTAATAGTTTCAGGGCCGCAGAAAAGAAAAAAGAAAGCCACACATAATAAAATATTATAAAACACATGTATAATTAGGGTTATATATTATATAGAAGAATAACATTTATTATAAGTATATTTACCTTATATATATAGTCTTTCAGAAATGTCATAAACTGCATTATATTAATCTTTGGAATTAGATTTTGTTGTTATACAGGTCATTAACTCACCAGGGTTCTACTTTAAGATTTGGAAATATTTTTTCTGGAAGAAAAAATCCATGCCATTTTGAAGTTTCAATGAGTTCTTGTGGGATCCTTTTTGATGCATCATAATAGTGACCAAATCTTGAAGATGATATAGGTCCAACCTGCCAATCAAACCCATTACCACATTATTTTTTCAACCACAATTTATTTGTCCTACATGCAGCAAAACAATAATATATTTATGCATTTTAATTCTAATAATGAGTACGTGTATTTATAACACATACTTATGAAATTTCAAAGAAGCACACAACAACCTTTATTATGTTAAACTATTTATGGTTAGCAATCAACCTTTTCATCTGTTTCTTCACCCCTAGTGGTTCATTAAGTTGGACAAGAATCTAAACCTCTTTGCCTTTTTCCCCCACTATACTGTCTATTTCACTTAACAGTTCAGGTTTTCATGACAAATATGCAGTTGCTAAGAAGTCAATGAAAACTTAAGCCAAATTAATTCACTGGTGAGAGGCCCAAAAGAAACAAGCTATATATATTGAATGTATTGAACTGAGCATCATTTTAAAACCAAATTGTCACAAGACAATATATATATATATTCTATATTTCTTACAAGCTTAAGATTAAGCTTACAGCATAATATGTATTACAATACTCCAGACAGAAACAAGGCACAAGAAAAAGTGGGAGAATGTATATAAGCTACATCATAAGTTCATTCAAAATCTAGCATAATCATTAGTTCCTTGATAATTCCTTCTTTGTGTTCTATTCTATACTAATAATTTCTCTAACAAATTCCTTCTCATCAGAAACTCTAATCACTACTGACACTAAATTTATTTAAATAGGATAGTAAAAGTTTACTAACATTATCTCTTTGAATGGACTTTGGGCTAATTTCTTTCATTCAACACACTTGAAATATATATGCACCTCTAGCCAAAGTTGAACTATTAACAAATTCCATCTGGCCACAGCTTCTAATAAAAGCTCTGTTGTAATTTGATATAATTTCCACTGTCCTGAATGCTACAAAACAGATAAGTTTCAGAACATTCAACAAAACTAGATAATCCCTGTAGAAACTGAAAAACTATACATAGAATCTTATCTTATTAAGTGACAACTTTTAATTTTAGATAAGAAACACATATTTGCTTGACACTAGATATTGGCATCTAAGACTTCAAGGGTACATCTTCTTAAATGCCTACAAACGATAAGTTATATAATAACATGAAGTAACATTTTTAAGTCTAATAAAAACTCTTTTTATTACATTCAGAGCCCATGTTTGCTTAATATTTATTTTCTAAATAAAATGGCTATTCATCATTCCATAAGGTACTACTTACTTTCACTAATGAAAGAGATCTATCAATTGGCATCAATCTAATCTTTTCAATGCAATATGTACACATGTATTGTTCCCAAAACGTAATTTATCCATTTACCATGGAACTATTGACAAACAAATCATATAACTTTAAAATATGTTTCTTAAAAACAGGGTGTAAAGTTTTTAAATGTAAAGTTATTAGTCTAAAGCAATTTAAACAAGGTCTGTTCTTTGGCCTATAATCTATTCTTTATCCGGATTATAGTTCAGAATGTTTTTACTGCAATCTCTGCTAGAGCTCATCTTTTTATTGTGTAAGTCCAAGCCCCCTTAATGTTTTAGAAAGGCCTTGACTAACTGAACTTTGATCTGATGTCTTCATTGAGAAAAACACCAGGTTGCCCATTTCAGATGCAAATCCCCCTAAGGCCCAATAGAATTTAGTAAAGACAGCAAAAAAGAAAAAAACAGAAGTTTCCAGGATCCTCTTTGAGAATCCTGGGGCACGCTGGTGTCCTTAATCCATGCTGCTGCATGGATTAAGGTAGGTGATAACCTTTCCTGATTCAAAAGAATAAGCAGAGTGCCTACAAACTGGGTGGAGACTAGGATTTGGCTATAATAAAACACCATGCAATAAAAGCTTGGTCTATGTCAGAAGCCTCTCAAAAGGCCTCAATGTACCACATTCCCAGGCCTAGTAGGGAAGCTTGCAAAAGCCTACCTGAATCAAATAAGCATGAATAATCTATTTTAGCAGACCAGCCATGGGGAGAGAGAAAGAAAGAAAGACTTTTCACTTCTTTTAAGTTTAAGTTAATAAATTTATTAGGGGACTGAAGGTTCTTGAAGTCCTATGTACTCAGAGAAATATGCTAAATTGCCAAAAAGAAATGTACGCTTTTTAAATTGCCGTCTCTATTAATGTTTCTAATTACAATATTAATGTGATAGAAATCTCAGATTTGGGATGAATTAAGGCAGAAAATTGATTTCATGCTGAGACAGTTTACATCTAGAACACAAATAATTCATTAAAATGTAAAAATAAAATGGAAAGCTTTTCTCATTATAATTATTAATTTATTTAGAAATTAAGATTAGATTTGGTAGCTAAAATATTCACAAGATAGACAAGAAAATTTTATTGCTGATGAAAAACTTTAATCTTTCAATTAAAAAATAAAACTGAAAATGTATTCTAAAGGACAAAACAATTTTCCACATTTCTCTACTCAAGATATATAGCATTAACATATAGTATATAATCAGATTCTGAAACTGAAATCTTTTGAAGCCTAAAACCATATAACAAAGATTTACAATTTCCTTAAAGCAGGATATCTAAATGCTGTAAATATAACAATTATCATTATCTACCAAAGACTGTCATCAACTCCATAAAAAAAGTACATTAAAAAATATCAAACTATCATCAATAATTAGTCAGTTTACTTAGCTTGGTGAGACAGTGTTGCTTTAGTTTTACGTTATGATAACTTGCATTTCACAGTCATAAACTACCTCTCCTCTTAGAAGAGAGTAAACATTAACTATGCTAAAAGAAAATGAACTCTGATAGGGTACAAGAAGAAAACAGAGCAACAAAACAACACCATATTCCACCTCCAGTATGGAAGAGAAACAAAACTTTTAGAGAAAAGATGAACCACAAAGAGTCTAAGACTTTTTTTTAACCATTGCTACCATTTCTTGTTTCTCATTCTGGCATAACAGACAGCAAAAACCCAAACAGTTTCTAAATCACTTTGAGCCTTAGTTCAATCACTAGAAACTGGAGCTAATAATTATTTTACAAGGTTGTTGTGAGACCTGAATGCAATATTGTTATAGATACTTTGTATATCGTAAATCACTATGTAAATGTTATTATTATTATTACTGTGTTATGATTTACTAGAGAATCAGAAAATCTATCACTGTCCTTTGTAATTACATGGCCTTATTGAAAAAATGATATCTGTTGGTTATCAACACATGCACACATCTATCACAGGACTGTTGTGGCCAAACCACTAAGACAGAGAATGTAATATAATAAAGACCCAACAGTGCCATGAATTGCTGGAGCCATTGTAGGCCATGGATTAGAGCTCTACAATACTGAAAACACTGAGTCTCAGAATATACTATAGGCTAGCAATTTGTGGATGAGGCAGAAATAAGGGTGGATAATTCGACGGTGAAGAAGAATGCATGACCACCTTGGAGAGAATATAAGAATCACATACTGAGGTCAGTATGATGGCTCACATCTGTAACCTCAGCACTTTGGGAGGGAGGCTAAGGCAGTAGGATCACTTGAGGCCAGGAGCTCAGAACCAACTTGGGTAACATAGTAAGATCCTGCCTCTACCACAAAAAAATTAAATTAAATTAAATTAAAAATGTATATCACTTGGTGAGGGAAGGAGGCTACTTCCAATAGAATGAAGCAGTTTTTTACACTTCACTGAGCTATTGTGACTGATTTACGGGTGCATATTCTTATCTTTTTTTGCATTCCCTAAGTGGCAACATGACTACACTCTTAGGACCTGGTGACAACTCATTTGAAAAGGCATCTCTGATGATCAACACATCCAGTATTGAAGTACTTATTTAATCTTAAACTATTTACATGGGACTGTATTTTGTCCCATGTAAAAATTTTTGTTTTGTTAAACTGAGAATGGCAAAGTAAGGTCTAGGTTTAGAAAGCAGATGATGAGTGATCACCAAAGCCGATCAGTCTTGGCCAATCATTAGATGTAAAACTTACCATGACAGGCAAATATACATGCCGGAGACATTTCAAAGAAAAGCAAAGAAGCCAGAAGATGATTCTATTTTCTAAACTTGAAATAACTCGCTGTAAATATAAGCAAACTTAAGTTGGACCATTGGTATTTTAAATAAGCTGTCATTTTATTCATATTAATTAATGCAACTTAGCTCAGTCTCATATTTCATTTGCATAGTATATATTTTATTCATTCGTGCATCCAGTAAATAAGCACTGAGCATCTGTTACATGCCAGTAAAACCAAATATTCAAAGTCTCTTCCTTCTACTGAGCTCAGCCTCTAGTAGAGACAGATAATAATAAGATAAATATGCTACCTGCTCGATTTAATAATGATAAGTGCTTTGAGGAAAAATAGAGCCATGAAAGGAGATGATAGTTGTTTTATTTTATACAGTGATAAAGGAAGTCACTTCTGATAAAGTATGATTTTAGTAGAGACATGAAAAAAATGAGAGAATAAGTAATCTGGAGAAGATCATTGTAAGACGAGCACAATTTTCAAAACATTAAAGCTTTAAACCTTGAAAACCGAGCACTGGATTTATTTAAGATGCAAACCTGAGGAAGTTTACCCCATAGATTACTAAGGCAATGACAGGTACACCAGACTCTACGAGGAAGAATAAAATAAGCACTACTTGCTGTGGCAGGAATAGCATCTATGGTTGTAATTTATAAAGAAACAACGTACTTTAAAAGAAACAAAGGATTTTCTCCCCAACTCTAAAAAGATTTCATAACAAGCAATAAGAAATAAGGCCTAAAGTTTTAGTTGCTTGCCATTTCGCTAACAATTTCTCTGGAAGAATGTTAATGACTAATGAAAAGATCAGAATCTAGCTGAGAAGAGAGCAAAAAAAAGGAAATAGAAGATATGAGTTTATGTCTGATAATCTCAAACTGGGTTGGTTTACTATCTTTACAAAGAAGCTGCATTTAACTTAGAGCTCATTATTGATTCAGAATACAGTGGTAAAAAATTTAGAATGCAGTCACTCTTCACAAAAAGAGTCACCATTAAACCCAGTCACTTAAATGAATTTGCCAGATCGAAGACAAGAAGTTCTTCGCCATCAGGGCTCTCAAGTGCTAGTTGTACGTCTCTTGTCTTTTTTAATCTCTGTCACTCAACTCACATGTTCCTAAAATGACTAACTACATTTATTCTGGCTTCTTATACTCAGTTCTCAATCACATCTGAGTCAGGTTATGACTGTAACAACTTCTGATTACACACAGTTTCCTTTGATTTTTTGATGCAAATATTTAGTATTGTACTGTTCAGCTATATCATAATTTATTTAACTACTTGTTTACTGATGGACATTTAGGTTCAATCTTTTGCTATTAAAAATACGTAGCATAAATAGTTCATAAGTTCCATTTTACATTTGAGTAAATGCGTTTATGATGTAAATCTCCCAAAGAATCAAAAGGTATATGTTTTTATAATTTTTCAGGATATTACCAAACTAGTCCCCTCAGAAGTTGTATTCTACTAGTAAAGTCTGAGGGTACTATTTTCCCACATCCTTGTGTTACCAGACATTTTAGATCACTGGTAATTTGATAAGAAAAAAGATGACAGATGAGTGTAGTTTTCATTTTTCATTTATCTTATTAAAACAAATTGGGCATCTGTTTTTATGTGTTTAAAAGCCATTTAAATTTCCTTTTCATATTCATTTTAGAAATTCTTTGCATACAAAGCAAATTAGTCCTTATTCTATGGCATGAGTTGCAAATATTCTTTCTTCAGTTTGCAGTTTGTTCAGTAATTTAAATCACAGTTTAAAAATCACCCTATTCAACTAGTTTTCATACCTTAATTACAACAATTCGTCATTGCTTAATAGACACTGATTACATGTTTTATACCTGGTACACAGCTGATGCTTAATCAGTATTTGCTGACCAAATGAATAAATACATTTATTATTCACTAAATATTTATCGATTATATGGGCCATAATATGGATGCTGAAGATACAAGAGAATATGACCAATTAACTACAAAGCACTTCTGAAGTGCTATGAAGAGAATAAGAAAGTAGATAATTATGTATGGAAAGCTAGATTAGGTAGTAATATTTGCACCTGAAGAAGGGTGAGCTGGTGAATCAGAGAAATGCATCACTAGCAGAAATAAAAGCAATTCGCAAGGAGCAGTTCTCATAGGATGGGTGCATACAGTTTTTCATACACACAGGGGAATAAGCCAAAAAGGTGAGCCTGGGTTACATTGTGAAGACTCTATACACCATCTTAAGAAGTTTATATCTCATGCTGCAAACTTATATTAGCAAACAGGTTTTGTCTCACATACTAACTTTTATGAATGGTGGCAACCACCCAGGACATTCTGCAGAGAAGAATTCTAAGGCTGTGTTTGAGCTTGGCAGGAGGAGGCTATGACTGAGAGTCCACCATACATTTAGCAGAGGGCAGTGGAAATAGAAAGCCCAATGAGGCATGTGAAGTTAAAGAGCAGCATAAACATATTTCTGTCCTTGGAAAAGACAACACTGATGTCAATGTGGAAGTCTAGAGAAGGATGGACTATGCAAATGATGTTTTATTCAGATTAGCATCCTCCTCTCTTTTCTATCAGTAAGACCTTGTCTAATAGACATTAAATAACAAATTCTGAAAAGTGAATGAAGTGAGCAATCAAATAAGGGAGCAAGTAAGTCAGCAGAGTCTTCACCAGGAGCAAAGTCCATGAGCTTGTGTGGACAGAGGTACTGACATCTGTTTTGACTGCTCAGAAAACTTCTCGTCATTTGCTGTCTCTTATTCTATTCTGGATAGGTGAAATGATCAGACAGATGAGTTTGAAAATTTAAAGACTCAAAATATGCAGAAATAAAAATGGTAGTTCCAAAGAACCACCACTGACATTGAATATTTATAGAGAGCCAAGCTGAACAGAAAGGGCTTCATTAGTTCACTTAACTCTGGCTTTCAACCCCAGAATAAAGGATTTTACATGAAGATTATAAAAGAAATGAAATAATCTATTTTGGTAAAAAAAACAGTTTGCCATACCTCTATTTTTAAGAAATATGTCACCTTGATCAAATACTCTATAAATAAAAGACATAATTATTTAAATAAACAAATACACTCTATTTAACGAATAATATTGGGCCAGGCTCGGTGGCACAACCTGTAATCCCAGCACTTTGGGAGGCTAGGTGAGTGGATTGCCTGAGCCTGCAGGTTCGAGACCAACCTGGGCAACTTGGCAAGACCTTGTCTCTACAAAAAATTAAAAATTAGCTGGGCGTGGTAGTGTGTACCTGCAGTTTCAGTTACTTGGAAGGCTGAGGCAGAAGGTTTGCTGGAGCCCAGCAGGTCAACGCTGGGATGGCTGTGAGTGTGCCACTGCACCCCAGCCTGGGCTAAAGAGTGAGATTCCAACTCAAAAAAAAAAAAAAAGAATAATATTGTACTGCATTTCAAGAATAATAGATATGCCACAGAGAGTCTCTAAAATAAAAGCAAGTGCATTTGCAAATTTGAGAACTAGCTTATATGTTGACTTGCCTCCATCTTGGGTAATAACTGGTAACGCCAAGCTATTTTCATCTTCATATCAGATTCTGGTGTTTTATGACTATATGCATCTTCATCAAATTCTTTTTTACAGTTATCATCAAGTAATGGTGCTGGAAGTTCCTAAGAAAAGAGAAGAACACATTATTGGACATCTGTGGTAAATAGTACAATTTTCTTAAATCACATTGGCAACACTAGAACTTTCTAATGTATTTAAAATTGATGCCCAAAGTTGATTTAAGCATAAACTCATAACAATATAGACATTTCTAAAATAGAGAAAAAGGGTACAATATCAAACGTGAAGTTTAATTTTTTAGAATGAGCTAGAATTTAAAGAAAAATTCAAATTTCTATATTTACAAAAAGTCAATTGCTATTCCAACAAGAGGCTATGCTCATTTAAAAATTTTTTTATACTAAGAGCAAAGTCTGAGCCAGGCTCGGTGGCTCAGCCTGTAATCCCGTGCCTTTGGGAGGCTGAGGTGAGTGGATGGCCTGAGCCCGCGGGTTCGAGACCCGCCTGGGCAGGCGAGACCTCATCTCTACAAAAAAAAAAAAAAAATCAGCCGGGCGTGATAGCGTATGCCTGTAATTCTGGCTACTCGGAAGGCTGAGGCGGAAGGATCGCCAGAGCCCAGCAGGCGAGGCTGCGGTGGCCGGGAGCGGCCACAGCACTCCAGTCTGGGCGACAGAGTGAGACTCCAACTCAAAAAAAAAAAAAAAAAAAAAAGAGCAAAGTCTGGAATTAGCACCTACGTATTACATGTAATTATTGTTATGTATGCCACAAGATAAAAATAAAGCATGTGCGCAATCTATTTACTGGCTTGTATTTCTAGAATTCAAGAAAGTCATTCACCGAAATAATGAGTAAAGTAACAACTAAGAATTAAGACATTTATTGTACTCATATCAAATGCTAGTTTTGCATCAAAAGCTTGTCTCTTCTTTAACAATGAAGATAGAATTTAAAATCTTATTACATATCTGAAGAGACTCTAAATTCTAATTTATTAATTTTGGAATGTAACCTACTGATTGACTACAAAAAACAGAAAACATTTTTGTGAAGAGGCAGGACAGAAATAATTCAAATAAAAAAAGTATACAAGTTTCTTAAAGAAGTACATGAAATAATTTGTTTTATTTTACTATTAGAATCATAAAGAGTGTGGCACTTGGTAAATAATCTTGTGCTGTTATAAATCAGTCTAACTTGCACTTTTACTTTTCAAGATCAAGTTTACTTATGTTTAGAATCATGTCAACTAATAAGCTAAAAAACACATTAACTATCATACATTTTAGTCCCCTCCTAAAACAACTCAAAGTGAACTCACATTATATTTTATGCCAATATTAGGAACTAGCTAAATCTTTTAAGCTCTGAATTCATCATTCCTAGCAAAGCATTAATATTTTACTATAAAGTAACTTCTTTTTCCAGTGGAAATAAGTATGTGTGAGGGAGAATTGTGTAACGCAGCATTGTGGTTACAAGTTTGAATTCTGGGTTCAAGTCCTGACTTCACTCTAGCAGATGTGTCTGGATTACCTTGACCACCTCTCTACGTCTCCAATCATCATTTGGAAAATGGAGATAACAATATTTAATTCAATGGTTTACTGTAAAGAATAAGTAAGTAAAGTACAGAGAACATTGTTTGCTACATATTAAGAATCTAATAAATGTATGACTATGAGATGTTAGTCAAGTAATTGTTTAACCATTACTCAGAGCTAAACATTTTGTATTGTCAATATTGGGCAATATTTAGTATAAAATATTTGGATTAACATATTTTTCAAATCCAGGGACACTTAGTAATAGTTATGACAAAGGTTAACTACAACCCAATAATAAAAACAACAACATTTGAAACATTCATTTTTTTTACAATAGAGATGGAATATAAATATTTTTAACTTTATCATATTGTCTATTATTTAAAATATGATGATTTAAAAAAATGTTCTTACATGAATATGTATAGTATTAAAGAAATAGCCCTAAAATAAAATATTAAAGATTTCTTAATATGGCTAAAATATCTAAATAACATGAGATTATAAAAAAAATAGGTAAGCATTTCCTCATTCATCTTATTAAATATGTATCTACTTCCATAGTAGATGTTCCACCATATTAAAAATTTCTTATGCATCATGAAAATTATAATGACCTCATGTTAATATTGATAAAACAGACACTAATTTTCTTAAAGATGAAAATATTCAAAAAATGGACAGAAAGTACACTTGAGCAATTATGTCCATGTAAAGGTTATGTTTTCTATTAGATGTATATTTGTAACTGATATGTAATTCATGTAACATAAAGTTCACCACTTTAAAGTATAAAATTAAGGTATAAAGTATAAAATTCAGTGATACCCAGAGTTTGGATGGGTGCACCACTAATTCCAGAGCGTTTGCATCAGTCACACAAGAAACTCCATACCCCTTCAGCAGTCACTCCACATGCTCCCCTCCCCTAGCCTCTAGCAACAACTTATCTGCTTTCTCTTTCCATGGATTAATCTACTCTGGACATTTCCTCTAAATTGAATCATACAATGTGAGCTTTTATGTCTGGTTTATTTCACTGAGCGTAATGTTTTCAATGTTCATCTATGTTGTAGCATGAATCAGTGCATTTCATTCTTTATGGCCAAATAATCTTCCACTGTATGGAAAAGCCACATTTTGTGTATCTGCTCATCACTTGATAGACATATGGATAATTTCCATATTTTACCTATTATGAATAGTGTTGCTATAAATAAATGCACAGTTTTTTGTGTGAACATATTTTCAATTCTCTTAGGTATATACCTAGGAGGGGAATTGCTGGATCATGGAGTAACTCTATGTTTAACTATCTAGGAGCTACTAAAATGCTTTCCACAGTGGCTGCACCACTTTACATTCTGATCAACAACAATTTCTCCACATTCTCACCAACAATTGTCATCATTATTATTTTTAATAGCTATCCCAGTGGGAGTGTAGTGATATCTCAATGTCGTTTGAACTTGCATTTTCCTAATGACAATGACATTGAGTATCATTTAATTGTTGGGGTTTGGTCATTTGTATATCTTCTTTGGAAATATGACTATCATGTCCTTATCCCATTTTTTAATTGGGTTGTTAATCTCTTTGTTGAGTTGTAAAGTTCCTTTATTTATTTTGGATAGCAGAAATGATCAGATGTACTCTTTGCAAATATTTTCTTCCATTCTGTGGATTGTCATTTCAATGTCTTTGCAGTCCTTTGACACGCAAACGTTTTTAATTTTGATGAAACTCAATTTATCTGCTTTTTCTTTTGTTGCTTGCATTTCAGGTATCATATTAAAGAAAGTGCTACCTAAATCCAAGGTTGTAAAGATTTATACCTTTTTTTCCTTCTAAGAGTCTCTATTTTCACATTTAAGTCTCTGATACATCTAAAGTGAATTTTTGGTAAGCATAATATCTAAAGTAAATTTAAATATAATATCTAAAGTAAATTTTGTGTTAAGTATAAGGGAGGGTTTTTTACATTTTTTTAGAAGACTAGAATATCAGTTATGTTGAAATTATTATTTATTGAGCACTTACTGTGTGTGTGGATATAGAAGTGGACAAATTTAGTCACAACAAGAGGACACATATACAGTGTTTGTCCTATTCAATGCATTTTTCTGAGTGCTTTACATATGCTAATTCAGTGTTCACATAAATTTACGAGGTAGGTACTATTATTATCTTCATTTTATGTAATGGGGCACTGAAACATAAAGAGGTTAAGTAACTTGTCCAAGGCCACAGAGATAGTAAAACATGGAGCTGGAAATTTGAAGCTGGGTAACCACCAGACTATATTGCTTTGGTCATTCTAAGTGGGGAGTAAAACAATAAACAAATAAATATGATAAGTCACAGAATAATAAATTAAAAAAAGTAGAGGTGGGTAAGAAGACAGAAGTTCTATTTTAATAAAAGTAGTAAGGAATGGCTTCTTGATTAGGTCAAAACTAAGGGAGATAATTCTATACACAGTTCATTGACATTCTATATAATATACTACTATAAATATTTCTCACATAGAAAGGTACCATCTATGGAAGTATATAATTAATAACCTTTCAGAAATATATCTCTGCTATTCCCCAGATCATGATAGAGTAGAAAGAGCACTACTGTTAAATACTCAGGTATGCAAAGGATCCAAGGATCTGTAGTTTAATCTTGCTTCATTCTTCATACATGTATACACGACCTATGCTACAGTACCAAAGTGGGTGTATAAAAGGGGCCTGGGTGATCTTTACACTCCATCTTTTCAGAAGGCTTTCTCCTCCCTGACTCTCCATTTCACTCTCACCTGTGCCAAACATCCTGGTATTTGGTCATACGCAGCTTCACATCCATCTTCATGTCTTGTTACTTATAATCTCATCTTTTCATCAAGACTGTAAGTTTCTTGAGGATTATATGGTAATATATACTCTTTTTGTACTCTTATAAAACCAGTACTAGAACAAGTACAAAGAAGATACACAATAGATACTTATTGAACTAAACCACAGAAACTTCCTACACGAATTTCAGTGGGTCAAGATTGTGTTATTCTCCAGGAAATTAATAGCACAGCTTTCTTTCAGCTCCTTGCTTCATGTGCGAATCTTGCTCTATCCCTATTAAGTTGTAATTCCTTATCAGCACAAGTGAGAATTCCATGTTTTCTATTTAGTATAGTATCTTACTGCAAAACATCCAAGTTGTAGTTCATTTCATAATCTTGAAAAATATAAAAAACCTTTGAGTAGCATATTTTGGTACATTTTTAAAAAGAATAAATGATTTTAAAAAATAATTTCAAGCAATGCAGAGAAGTACAAAGAAGAATGAACAATGAAGGAAATGTACTTTAAAACCAGTTACCATTTCCCAACCATTAGACAGGCAAGCAAAGAAACAAAACATGTAACAACACCAATATTGTCAAGAGAGTGGAGAAACAGAGTCTCATTCACTGCTGTAAGCAGCTAACAGTTTATTAGTTTTACTGCCATAAAACCACCTTGGAGAACAACTTGGAAAAATGTCAGCTAAAATGTGCATATCCT